TCCTCATTATCTAATAGGAACATTCATACATTAACACAGACACTTTGTGGGTATACCTCATATCCAAACCATAATACCTTCACAAGAAATTCAAATTCAGTTGGTCTAGGGTACAACACAGCCATTGGTATTTTTTCTTAAACTACTCATGTAATACTAATATACAACCAGATTTGCAAACCACTATTCTATTTCAGACCATTGTTTCTCATTCCCTATTCTTTTACTCCAACTACTTTCTATTTCTGTTTTCCCCCAAAAGTGTTCTTTTTGAATGGTATCAATATCTACTTGATTTCAAACTCTGTATAATTATTTTCAGTTTTCATACTAATTTTTCATACCAAGCCTCTGTAGAGAATGACCATTCTACTTTTCTTTGCCTTTGTTTGCTGTGGCATTGTTCTTTCCAAGTGCCTTCCTTTATTTTTCTTAGGCTTCAGTTCTCATTTTTCCACACTTCTCTCAAAGGACAGAGTTTTCCAAGATCTGTACTTGACTTCTTCTTTCTTTATCAGCATCCTAATGACTATGTCCTTCTGCAGTGTTTCATGACTATAAATATATGTTTCTGTGGCCCACATTTTATATCTAGACTTCATTGTGTAGCATGAGATTCATATTCTAGTACCTACTATGTGCTTCTGGACTGGTGTCCCAGATCTTCAAATTTACTTCTGCTAACATTAAAATTATTCTTGCTCTCGTATGAATATTCTCAGCTCTGACTAAGATGGGACTCATTTTGAAATATTTAAAATCTGAGAATCTACTTTAGAAATGTTGATTAAATTGATCTAGGGATTGAATACTATGATTTAGAAAATATTCCAAGAACTTCTAATGTTCAAGCGAGGTTAAGAAGCACAAGAATGTGTTCTAGTAACAAGGCCCCAATTGTGGTTTCACATTAGAGTTGCCAAAGGAACACTTTTTAAATATCCTTATAGACCTAAACCCATTTCAGTTGAATAAGAATTCTTGAGGTTGGATTTAAGAGATTAATTTTTTTTGAAAATTCCTCAGGTGAAGCTTAGGCTTGGGCAAGACTGAGAACCTTTTCTACAGTAGTTTCAATCTCAGTATGGCACTCTCCCTAAATAATTTCTCACCAGGTCTGGGAGTCATGTTAAAGTCTGACTTCATCCCAACTTTCTCTCATTTTATGCATAATTGAAAGCCAAGTCCTGTGAATTCTACCTTTGTAAGATATCCACTCATAACAGCTCTTGAATGCCTAATAGAATTTTAAGCTCCACATGTATAAAACAAATCTTTTTATACGGCATTTCTAACCACAATGAGGACTGCAAGTCCAGAATGTCGTTTTGACATTTCTCTTCCTGGTTGTACTATAGATATAAAATTAATATTGTCAATTCAGTTGAGGCTAATATATGAATACAATACTTTAAAAAAAGATCTATTGATCTTTCTTTGGATTTTGTGTATACTTTTATCATCAGGATAAATCACTAAATAATAATATTTGGGATTTAGTACTTTGTGTAGATTTATATGGAATAATAGAACAAAAAAGATTTATGGAATTTCTGTTGTTGGAAAAAGAGAATTTATAATCTGCTTCATCTCTGTCATGAGTCAATAACAAAATTTTAAATGCCAATGAATTTCCAAAAGAAATTTAGCTTGTAATAGAAAGAAGAGAGTATTATAATGGGATTTATCCAGAGCTTCCTTAAACTTGAGGTATTTTCATGCCTGCTGGCTGTCTTTCTAGAAAATATATTTTAAATTTAAAACAACAATAAAAATTATATTGATGTCTTTGCTGTTAATATTGGTTCATATTATTTCTGAGTATGATGTCACTTGTTTTCAGGATAAATGAAAATAACCTTAACATGGATTTCCAACATAGGTTCTCACTATTTTTTATGCCCCTGATTCAATAAATCTAGTTGGCTTTGATAATATAATACCATAGCCACATTATATTGTGATTTACAGTCACTGCAAGAAAAAAAAGGAATTGTTAATAAATGAAACATCTGCATATTTCTGCAAATATCACAATCTCTTACATCCAAGCTTATTTGGTAGCACTAACATATAATATTCTACTTGCTTACTCCCCCATAAATATGTAAATAGGAAAATGGAATGGGGAAAAAATGAAAATATTCTTCGACCCACACAAAAGTGGCTGAATAGGCCTAATCAATATTAACTTCACAGTTTCCCCATATTCTATATGTTTGGCTTTTAAAAGTCTGTCTTTTAAATATGCTATTTTTCTTAATTTGAAGTTAATCAACTAAAATAGGTTCATCCCTTTCATTTCATCAGTATCACAGAGTGACTGTCTGGGAGCCTGAGTTCTAATGAGGCAGCCATTCCAGACACGTACAGACAAAGCAGTGGTTTCCCTGGCAACGAGAACCACGAGAAAGCTCTCAGAATAGTTATTCCCACCCTTACACATGAGTCCTTTTCATTTCAGTAAAGCTTCCTGTCAGAATACATTCATCAATGTAATTTTCCAACAAAGTTTGAGAGATTAAATCTCTCTCTCTTCACAAGGATGTAAAAATAAATAAATAAATAATAAAATAATAAAATAAAATAAAAACCTGCAACCAAAATCACCAAGCTGTTCTGAATTTGTAGTCATCTTATCAGGCAATGCTTGAAAGGAAGTAAAGGACATTATATGATTCCTGAATACAGTTAACATCACTTGGAACTGAGATTAATTTTCATTTGATTTTTATCGAAGGAAATAGAAGGTAGATGCATCAGGAGGAGTGACAGGTGTATTTAAAAACTACCTCTAAAATTATCCTTTATAACATAAGTTGCTTTTACTAAATAGTAAAAGTTCATAAAAACTTACATCATTGTATGCATCTATGTATGGTATTGATTATAAACATTAAACTTACATTAGTGATGTGTACTAAGAAAGGCAAATTTTGAAAATATGGTATCTTTTCTTTTGATAGGATAAAGAATTTTTGAATAAGATACTTGAATCTATGTCCTACCTATGTATGCAATATGAAAAGGCTGACAAAGCAGGCAGCATCTTGCAGCATGACAAACAAGGCGCAAAACACATCTGGAAATAAAAATGTTCAGTTGAAGGAATTGCCCATAAATAAAACAATCACAACCTTTTATTTGGCCTTCTTGCTGGAAATCAAATTCCTCGAGTTTAAAATATACCCACTAAATATAATCCAAAAGCAGAATAACACACTTTAAGCATTTCTCAAAATGTTAGCACCAGCAGATGCGGATACAGTTTATAGTTGTAGTGATTTACCCTGTTTTCTTCACTAAGCATATATCTATGCCTGTTTTTCAGCCAGCATGTTATAGCAAAGGAACATTCATGTTGCCCTGGGCTATTTCTTTAGAACAGTATCAAAATTACTTTTACCATAGATTAGGTTATGTTTTAATGCTGAGAAAAGTCTATCTTGCCTTTATTTTTGACCCATGGCAAACTTAGCTTATAGTATCATTATGAGGTCAAAGCAAGCCTTGCAAAATAGTACACACACACATATGCACACACAATTTTTTAAGAAAGAGGTTAAAAAAAAAAAGTTCACATTGATAGAAAATTCAGGGCATTTTCACTATTTTTTTTTCACCTGAAGATTGAAAAGGAAACTCATTTCACATTGTAACATTGCACCAATTGCTCCAGACACAAAATGAATCAAGTCTCCTGTTGGATTATGTGGGTAGTATTTCTTCTTTCCTCGGTTCCTTGCTTACATCTCTGGCTAGCAAACTCAAATATTGTCTTTCACAAAATAGTTTTGAAAAGTGGATCCCCAGTTCATTGTTGTTTAAGTATAACAAAATCACAAATTACATTAGGTATCAAAAAATGTGGAATAAAATATCAATGTGAAAGTATTAACAATTTAGTAAACAATAATGAGAATTTTATTCAATGACTATTTGCCAATTATATAGCATTTGAATATGATATATAAAGCTTCAGAAACAAATTGTTGTCTGAGAAAAATTGTATTGTGTTTTTAAATCTCCACCTTTCTTCCTGATGCTTAATTTCTTCCATACAAAAATATTTACATAAAGAACATAAACACCACATTTTAGAATATTAAACTCATATTCTAGCCCAACCAATGTATATGTAATTTATGTAAGCTACCAAATCTAAAAGACAAATTAAAATGTCAGGGTATATTTATTTATTTATTATAATCTATTTTGGAAAATTGGCATTCATAATCTTATGTTTCTTAAAGAATATATAATTTCAAATACTTCCACAAAATAAAGTATCATAATACATAGCTTTCTACAATTAAACCTAAAGTGCAAAACCTCAGCTGAAAATTACTTATAAAACTTCCAATCACAATTACTAGTTTAGGTATTCTTTTCACAGTTGAGAAATATAATGCAAATAAAAGTCGAGTGTGCTGTGCCTCCAACTACAACATAAAGTTGATCTTCCATGTCATGTTTCTTAAAAGCATCTCTAAAATAAGTTTCTTCCAAACCCTTTAAATTATTCTCTTTCCCTAATGGCTTGTTGTATTGTTCCCCAGCAGAAATGACTAAAAAAGCCCTATTGCACTTAATCTAATTACAGATTTTTGGAGAAACGGTGGTTGCATAGTTCTCATTAACTGACTAAAAAACTGTACCATCTCCAGAGGTATAGAAGGAAAAAAAAAAAAAAAAGGACGATTCCTTTTAAAGCTCCAGAAATGAATGTAAGTGTTCATATTCTGGTACATTAACAGTTTGTTCCAGTACATTGATATTTTATGTGGAAGCCCTACTCTGCAATTAATATGCCTGATGCAAATTGAAAAACCCATAATCCATCCTTCTCTGTTGGAATGTAAGAGTATATTATTATTGAGAAGCTACAGGATACCAGAGCCATTTTTTAAACTTGAGTGCTCATTACCTTAAATCTGCATATAAAACAGTTTTGCATTCAGACGAGGTAATACATAACGGAATATATTGTGGCGCATATAAAAAAAAAAGTCGCTCCAAATAAAAACGACCTGTGGGCTTCCTTTGTAGAAGGAATTTATGCAGTTCCAGGCATTAGGGATTAATGATAGCTAACAGCAAAAGAGGAGGGATGAGCATTAAAATCCTGTGCCTAACATTCCTGACTACCCCAAGGCTACAGGACAAACTGAATTGTCTAAATCTCCCAAAAGGTAAGGAATAAGTATTTATCACTAAGCAAATATGGTATTTGGGGATTGTGTCTGATTCTGTCACATTAGTATTCAGAATATTTCTTATAGTTTTAAAAGAGAAGAGACAACCTTAATGGAGTAAGAGAGAAGGAAAGAGAAAAGAAAAACAGAAAAAAATAAGAAATCCTTTGTTTCTATCATCTCAGAGAATCTCTTTCCTTATGTCTTGTTTCCAAGTTATGCATATAACAATTCACACGACATATAATTATTCTATTTTCTGCTGTGATTGACAAAATCTAAGATTTTAATTAAAGTTTTATAGGAACAATTTTAAAAGGAAGGTTAACCATATATCAATAAGGAAATAGATTTAATGCAATATGTTCTGAGAAATTGAAAGATCCCAGGGATACAGGTTTATTTATTTCATGGATTTCTCCTAAACCTGTTCCATCATTTGATTTCTATCCCTATAGCCTGTGATCTGAGTTTTGTAACATTTTAGCATTTGCTTGTACCCTTCTTACTTTTCTCACTATCCATCATTAGGATGTTTAGTGACTCCTACTGGTGATTATCTGTGTAATTGTTTTATTCCACTTACTGAGTAATGGAATTCTTTTTTTGGGGGGGGGTCTTCTTTCAATTTTATTAAAAGCAATGAATTGGAAATAATCAAATTGTAAAACATTTATTATCCAAACTTATTTATCCAAGTTATTCATATAATATCTAACATGATATTAGACTTATCTACTTTAAAAAAAAATTTTGAAATCATGCTGAAAAGTATTGATCTATCCATATTAAATTGTTATTAAATAAATTTAACTTTTTACTTGTGGGTAACTTCTTTAACTTAGCATATTTGTAACTGAGAAGAT